TTGACATCCCATCATATATCAAAGAGCATCCCACTATGAAGGAAGGCCATGACATCATGCAGTGGGTGTGGGTAATTCTTTTTGTATTGGGAGAAAAATAAACGTAGGAAAAGTTTTGAGGGGAATCTCTCAGTGCCAAAGACCTTAAACTGAAGCAGTGATTTATGTTCAAACACAATAGTGGCCACCAGCATACAGCCAAATCAACATTAAAATGAGAGACACGGCCAAAGCCTTGACATCTATTGAAAAATAATGCGCCTCAGACTGTTTATTGACTCACCATCCAGCTTGACTGGGAAAGAGAAAAAAATTCAACTTAGATTGTGCCAAGCAGATACTGACATATAATAGTACTTAAAGCTGTCATTACTGCCAAATGTGTTACTGGATAGTATTCGCTTAGGGTGAAATACATTTCAAATACTACTGCTGCATTTCAATTCCAATCAACCAGAAAAAACCCCAAAGCTCTAACAAATCTTCAATATGTCATTTCTAACATTGTTGGTGCCCCGATGGATTTTTTTGCTGAGAGTAAACAGAAGCGGCACTGCACGTTTACATACAGTCTCAGTGTTCAAACTGCACTCTAACTCTCAACAGTATAGAAAAAATAGCTGTTTAGAAGGCCTCCTTAGTTAAAGAGTAATCAAGAATTTAACAAAGTAATCAAACCCTTAAAGTGATTCTCCTTAATAAGAAAGATAATCTCCTCCACTTTAGCTTGATTCTCCTCAGCCCAGTTGGACCCTCAGTGTAATTGCTCTTGTTAATCAAGCCTTAATTTGTTGACGGGACTCATTTGAAAGACTTGTCTTGAAAACACATATAATCTCTCCCAATCTGGCAATGCTAACATCTTGAAATTAAGGGCCGCAAAGTAGAATGAGAGCAGATTAAGTCATTTCAGAGACTGATGTAACCAACGATCGGTGTCAGTCACTGCTTATTATTGTAATTGTGAATAAAAATAGTAACAAACTACAATAATTTCAATAAATTGCACTGGTAATAGTTCAATATTTGTTAGATTATTGTAAATCTTATCAAACTGATCTCTAAATATACAAAGTCTCCAACAGGGTGTGTAAAAGTCAAAGCACTCTTTTTCCCAGTTTTATATTCATTCAATCATTTTAACATTCAACTCTGAGGAGAGGTCGTGAGGAGGAGTTTTGTCAGTCTCTTTCCAATAAAACGACTATAGATAGATAATGCTAAATGCTAAAACATAGTGTAACAGTAGGTGGAGAAGAGTCATAGTCAACTCAAAGAACTGAATGATTCAGTAAAATCAGTTACATAGCAATTTTTCTTAAACTTTGCTAACATTTGCTACCACTGGTCATATGCCAATGGTCATACCAGACCAAGTAAGACAATGTTAAGAAGAAAAAAAATTATATTTATACCTCCAAAGGTTATACAGTTTGACTTTAAAGGCCAACGGGTAAATACTTTGACCCCTAAAGTTCCCTAAACTGGAAGAATTTTAGGAAAAAAAAAGTCTAATAGTCTACAGCCATGCTAGCTGTGAGGCTGTATTTAAGCACAGTGATGCTTTGAGCTATAAGCTGATGTCAAAAATGCTAACATGAAAATGCTAATGTATTAGCATATTAGTAATATGCTAATGTTTAGCAGGTATACTGTTTTCCATCTTAATTTAACCTGTTAGCATGCTAACATTTACTAATTCTCTCTAAACCCAACCGGTCGAGGCGGACGGCCACCCACCAAGTTTTTCCTTGCCACTGTTGCCAAGTGCTTGCTCATGGAGGGAATTGTTGGGTTTCTGTAAATAATTTAATAAGGAGTAGTTTCTAAACCTGCACTATATGAAAGAAGTGTCTCGAGATAACCTATGTTATTATTTGGCGGCGTACAAATAAAACTGAATTAAATTAGTACTACATACAAACTACCACTGAGGCTGATGGGAATCTCATTAGTTTTGCAGGTATTTGGGCATAAACCAAAGTACTGGACAAATTAATATTTTGACCTGATGATGACTATTACTAATATAGGGGGAAAAAGTCAAGCATGGCTGAAAATATGATATATGTATCAGTTCATAGACTGTGTAAGCATACAGAATCGAGTTTCCAATAACTCGATTAAAAAATTAAAAAAAGAACAATTGACACTGGCACACAAACGCTAAAAAGGCTAAGTACCTCTAAGGGCTGAACAGTCTGAGCATCATTTAAAGATAAATGTAATTAGATAATCATACCACACCACACCATCGCTAAAGTCAGCAGCAACTTAAAGCTTAAAGCCCTTAAAGCTAAGTAAAATCATTTACCTCTCCCCACTACTACTACTGCCAGGCGCCTGCCACTATATGTTGTGAAAGTAAGAGCCAGGAGGAAGGTCAGACCTGTGAAATTTGTAGATATCAGTTAGAGTGGATGTTTGCAAAACCAGAATTCTTCAATGACCCGAGCTGCCCCCAACTCACACAACCACAAGTCATCTACAGGAAAACATACTGGGCTATTTAACTATTTCTATCCTTTGCTGTTTATTCAATTTGGTCAGACACAACAGACTTCTCACCTTCATCTCTAACCTCCTCATATTACTGACAGACAGTTGTATACAAGGTCAGCCTCATGGTCAAAAACATTTCTCACTGCAGTGCTGAGTTAGTCCAAATTTCTCAAAAAACTTTCCCATAACATCTGGTGAGCCGGCGAGCAGTCAATATCAATTCCCTGTCTTTTCCATGCTTGCCGAGACGCACGGGAACATTGTGTATTGGGGTTGTGTCTGATGCAAGGAAATAGCAATGGCATCTCCTTTACACCTCTCAAACTTTCAATCAAGCAGTGACAAATAGTGACACAAGTTCCCCACACGCAGCATATACACAGTTTTTGACAATGCAAAAATAAGACATGGATGAATCAATCAATTTAGCTTCTTTCACCTCATTAGATGAATATTAATGGCTATTCTGACAATAACAAATTTCAACCATAAAACTAAAATATTAAAACTAAAATTGAGCACAGAATGATACTCACAGTTTCTCCTTAGATCATTGAAGCACAGAAAACTGCTAGCTTCACTAAATGGCAGTCACTTGGAAGGCTCCTCTCACCCCTAGAAAGCCTTATGCAGCTGAAATGACTCACATCCCCTCTTCCAACCTCTGTCAACCATCATGAGGAGGTAAACATTTCCAAATATGGAGAAAATATGAAGACAGTATTGAGGGCAATATCAGTTTGGTTTGCTTTTAACTTGGAATGCCATAGTCTGTGAGCCAGAGTCACTCAGCAGAGCCAGTTCTGTGGTGCATACCTTTCACTAGGAATAATAATGATGATTGTAGAGAACTTTTCACAATCGGTTTGAGTTCGGTCTGACCTAAGATGGGTAACACTGTGAGCCTGCCCTACAAGCTGCATTTTTATGGGTAGATAGTCAAAATGTAGTGAGGAGAAGATGAAAACTGAAACTGAGAATGGGAATCTCAATAAATTGCAAAAATGAAGAGAAAGATAGACATATATCACTTTTTTTGTTCATGAGGTAACCAGGGCCAGAATAGAAGGTATAGAGAACCCATTTACTGTGAGAAGCTGTCTTGTCACACAGATTGTCTTCAAGTGATTAAGAATGTATAATTAAAGTCTGATTACTCCCCATGAGTGGCATAGGTCAGCGGAGATCAAGGTATTATTAAGAGCCGCTAAGAGAGGACATTACACCGTCCTGCCGGGATTGGAATTGTTTTAAAGAGCAATTTGGCTTGAGAGTTGAAACGTTGAAACGGCACAACCCACTTCATACAAATCCCAAAGGAACAGACCCCATTCAGGGGGCTGAAATTCTTAAATGTCCACAGATTCTTTAAAAAATATTTATTTGTTTGCATTTTGAATACAGTCACTGCTTTTCTTTATAATTCCTAAAGTCAGAAATCTGGTACAATTTTGATCCGCAGCTAAGCTAAATCAGTCTGGACAGTCTAATAAGAATCGATGTAACTCTAATGCAACATTTGTCAGGCACTTGAGAAAACATGAGAAAAATTAGAAGAGACGGCTAAACAGGACCACATGAGAATGTGGCTGCAATGTCAATGCAGAGATTAGAGTCTTAACAATAATAAAAAAGATCTAAAGACTAGAATAAAAGATTTGGCCGTAGCTGTATAATGTGTGCTTTTTACAATAAGCCAAACCAGATTGTATGCAATAAACTCAGCTATGAGCCAGTTGGGATACATAATGACGCCACATGCTTTGACTGCACTGGATGCTAAACTGATGCAGCAAAAAAACATATATCATCTTTTTTTTTAATTCCATGTATTCTTCTTTGTCAAAATCTGGCACCTACATTACCCACAATGCAACTCGATCACCGACAATTCAGTTAGAGGTGTTTCATGCAGGTAGTGACTAATGTAGCCTCGAGACACTACCCTCAAGCCGAGATAAGGAGCGGCTACAGAGCTCTGATAACATCACTCCTTTTAAAGTCCACATTCCAGACTTTTTTTCATTCAAATGACATCATTCGAGGCAGTTTCTCAGATATTCTGGAGCTCACTCTGGAGCCACAAAAGGCTTTATACAACTTTGTCCACATACAGTGCGCAGTAGTACCCTACTTTCCCTGCAGTTTGAAACATGGCCTAAAAAAAGGTGACATTGCACCTGCCGTACAAAAGCTCACCAAGACCTCACAGCAATTACAAGTTAATAAGAATTCTTACTGAAAGATATCATGGAAAACAATGATTTACTAACAAGTACTCACATTGGGGGACAACAAAACATATTTTGTGATAAATTTGTGATGGTTTCTGAGGGCCACTTGGCTCTGGGTTGCTAAATGATATGTCCATATTCTTGTGCTTTTAACTAGAAGTTAAGACACACAACCTTCCAAACAAAAACGTTCTACTAACACCTGACATTAAAGCACAAGTATGTAAAGTCCAATGCAGCGAAGTACAGCAAAAATGATTTTACCTTTCCTCCTCTCTGGATTTCTGGGATTTCTGGGAGATTGTTGAAGCGATGTCCTTCACTGTATGTTGAAATCTGTTGAGGTTAAGAAACAGGAGACACCTCTGTATTACTCAAATGGATTACATAACTGTAATTGTGCTGAGCAGGACCACACCAACATGGTAAGTGGGTTCTGTCAACTCATAGATTTTTTTTTTTTTTTCCATGACTGTGTCGTTCATCAGTGAAAAGATGAATCACAGGCCGGCCCCTATAAATCCTTTACGAACCTGACCGTAAGTTGTCCATTTAAATTTTAGTCATCTTTCAGCAGGCACCTGTCACAGCCCGCTGGAGTAATATTTCAATGCAAAGACACAGTACAGGCAAAACAATGCTGACAAGTGACACTGCAGAAAATATTTCACCACAGTGTAACAATCATTTAGTGAGGAGAAGATCAAAATTAAATCAAATGTGAAAGTGTTTCATAACAATGATCCAGTCTTTTGGTATAATATCATATTAGCAGCACTCATAGAACAACATCAACAATATAATTATCTACTATATTCTTCTAATATATTCACTTACTATTGTAACTCTTAATAATTTCATTCTCGATATCACTGGTGATAATAGAGAGCATTTCTTTGCTCTCTCAGTACTGAATACAAAAGGCTACCATGTGCAGTTTAAGGATTTAACTTCACGTTCATCTATTGATGCTTTTAATTAATACATAGATGCTATAAAATGTAAAATGATGTCTGTCATGTTCTGTGACGTCTTTGCTGCTTATTTTCTAATACACACCCAGTAAACCTATAGCTGTTACATGCATTTGTTGATAAATTACTTTTAGAAATGACTTGTTGGTAATAATGATTGAGCTGACAAGCTGTGTGGTTTAATTTAGTATGTAAGTGTGTGGAGTTTGTGGAGATCGATAATATACCTGACTGAGTTTGTGTCCAATAACTATGTCAGTTTATGTTTTGCACAATAACTTACACCAAGTACACTAGCAACAGTAGAGGAAGCGTTGTTGGTGATGGTAAAAGCACAGGACAGCACTCATCTTTACTCTGAATTTAGTTTTGCCCGGCAGCAGTCTCTCAGAGTTTGGAGAGGATGTACAGATACTTCCGCTCTCATTATCTGAAGGCCACACGTTCTCCCATGGACCTTGAGGATGAAGCTTTCTGACACAACGACAAAGCCTTTTTAAAAAGGAACCAGATGCATACTATCTAGGGCAATAAACCTGCAAACACACTGCATATGATTACAGTTCTTTTTACTGCTGCACAACTGAGAGAGCTAATAGGGTAGGCTAGTGGAAGGAGACAAACTGCATGCACAGTCGATAGAGCAAGTAATGTAGTTAAGTGTAAAACTTGAGAAAGGAGTCTGAGGAGAGGCAAACTCATGTTAAGTCAGTGAATGTCATTAATTAGACACTTACAAAAACAACTCAGTGAGGAATATGCTTCAGTTGTGAAGGAGTCTTGTGGGAATGATGCAGGCATTGTCCGGTACCAACAATGCCATTGTTCTGTAGGACAATTCTTACAGAACAATTAGAATCCACGTGGATTTAAGTAATAGACAAACAACAGTACTGTTGTGCAAACCAGCCTACTACATGTCACGGCCCTACCTGAGAGCACAGTAGGAATGTTAAGCGGGCACTGACATGTACTTGCTATGTCCTGTGAGTTGTGTCGTAAGTCTGATCATGCTTGATTGTGTCATTCTAAAGTATACACTTTGTTTTTGATTTCCTCTAACATGACGAGGTAACCTTTTTCTGTGGTCCATGCAGGTTATACATTGAAGGCTGTTCCACTACCCATATGACATCTCGTATCTCTGGTGCCTCTGGTGTATTACCATTACACTCGGGACACAGGGATAAGCATCCAAAATGGACTCAAATAAAAACCTAAAGTAGTTTGAGATTCCTCAGTCTTCTAACCACCTGGATTAAAAAATATTCTGTGTTGCATGATACAATTAACTTTTAACTGGTTTCTAAAGTTGCGACTGCATCTTCTAATCTAGGTAGATTAAGACACACGTCTTTATTAACACACTATTTTGGATGAAAATATAAAATATCAGAAAGAAGCTATATAACCAGCCTTTTCTTTTGGTTCAAGTTATTCAAATTGAGCAAGGAGACGCGTCCTTTTCAGATACGCTCTTAGTTTGGATTAGGAAAAAGAGGTGCAACTTTTATCATGGAGCAGACGGAGTAGTTTTCATCCGTTATAAGAGTCTTTGAAGATTCTGGAAATACCTTTAGCACAGCAGTAAGTGTTTTTAAATGACCTTCTGGCAAAGATTGCCTGATATTCCCTTTTTGTAAAATTGGATGCTCAGCCCTGTGGATCAAATGTAATAGCAATACACGAAAGTTACCAATAGACCACACTTACCATAGATAATAGAGATGCACACTGGCTTCTTGGTATCATTCATACATGTGACACTTTCTGAAAGCCCACCGTCTCGACATCATGCTCTACTCTAAAACTGTGCATTTTGAGTCTGAGAAACTGATGCTGTTCCTTCCAGAAAAGGAGACCCTCATTAAAATATGCCAAGAAACACAAACAGTAGAACAACTTGACTAAACCTACCAGGGGGGCCCGCGCTCAAAGGCAGCTGAGGCACTCATCTTTTAACTTTAACATCATCAACGCTGTCAAATGAGTCCTTTTTAGCCAGAGATTTTAAAGACAGTTCCGTTTAATGTGTTCAAAAATGTGTCTGAGCGACGCAGATGTATTCGGTTTGATGACAGCACACACAGGGGACCTTGGTGTTATTGATTTGAAATCCAACATCTAAGTCAAAGTTTGAATTCAGTCTTTTAAAGAAGAAAGTGAGGCTTATTTTTCACATTAGCTACATTTTCTGGCAGAACAATAACTATAGTCTGGACCATGGCTCTTTTTTTTAACTCACAAAAGATGACTACAGGCAGGTAGTCAGTAACTCCAACCCAGGTAAAGCTTTAGAGGAAATATTTGTGGCCTGAAGCTGTGCTCACAGATGCACACACAACTTCACAATACATGTAATGCATGGAGCAACACTTGACACTCATAAACAATGCTGGAATACTCCGCCATAGCTAGAAACTGATGGGGTTTGTTGTGTTGAATGTTTTTAATATACAAGGTTGTCAACAACAGGGCAGACTGACAAAAGCTTCCCTTTCTGAAGCATTCAAAGTGGATAACATTTAACTTCTTATCTCAGGGGTGAAGTCACTTTATTCAGAACTGTCTTTGGTAACTTCTTGTTCTGTGGTAAAAGGTCCAGATAAAGTACACAGCATGGGTCCGTTCGCCCTTGTTGACATGCAAGTAAAAGAAAATGACTGACAGGAATATCGTGACATTGTTTGGGCTAACTTTAGTTAGAATTAGCTATATTATGGAAAAGTCACCTGCAAAGACTTTAAATTACCACTTGAGCGTTGGGTGGAGCCAGGTCTGGCCTGACTGCATTTCTATGTCACAAATCAAACAGTGATGGTTTCCTGCCTTGTCTTTTCATCCAAACCAGGGCTAAAAGTATACTGTAGGCCTGAGCTGTGATGTTAGTCCACTCTTTAAGGGCCTAATGTAACCAAACTATGTGTTAGTTCTGCCTCAACAAACGTATATGTGCATGTGCAATGAATTACACTGTCATTTATAAAGTCTAATGGACACACAAGTCATAACTAGTGACCGGGAACAACAGTTTTGGCTAACTTATTAAAAGACCATCACCAAAACTACTTAAACAACGTGGCGAATCTATGCTGTCGTAAACAAGTGCGTCCCGTTCACACGTTAAGCGGTAACTTTATCTCCTTTAACGACGACGCCAAAACTAGCAAACACTTACTTAACCAACAGTTATTTCGGTAACGGGACACTTTGCTCAATGGGCGCTTATGAGAGCGCTAAAGTGAAATTCAGCGACATATTTCCCTGCAGTTAGGGGCTCTCATGTTTCTCCGGTGACAGTCTGTCTTCCGCATTGCTCGGCAGCAGACCACCAGGCTAAAAACAGAAACACCAGAGACGCCCAGGGTCCCTTCAGGCAAAACCTGACGGTTCACAATGTCTTATATTTTAAACGCATGACCGAGCCCGGCTCAGCATTAGCTAGCGACGAAGTTAGCTTTGTTAGTATCCTCATGTAACATTAGCACCAAGGCAGCCAAGGCTATCGTTGGAGTCCACGCCCTCATTGTGAACTCCGTCCGAGCTACAGTAAAATTCATATTATAACCCAACAAGGCCGAGCAAACTGGGTCGAGCTCCTCCAACGCTGCGTTTACCAGTCACACGTTAAATCACACCAGTCCTAACACAGCCGATAGTCACACACAGGTTTAAAGCGACACAAGAGTGCTCGATAGTTTCGCTTACCTCGCTTTCTAGGAAATATAACAGAGGTTCAAATCCCACCAAAAAAAGTGAAACTTCTTGATCCCAATTCTGGGAGAGTTGTAGGCAGTGACGTCACGCTCTGAAATTCCAGCCGTCTCAGTCAGTTCACAAGTTTGCCCATGTAAGGCAGCAGGCCAGCGGTGTCACCGAGCCCGAACACCGCGGCTCCGCCAGCGCCGCTTTATTTATAGACGGATGTATGGAAGAGGAAAAAATGCACTATATAATGTATACAGGAATGCAGTTTCACCCCTTTTTTTCTCCCCCAACGCTTAAACCCCAGGACTCTGTCTTAATATGCCACAAATGTTGATAACCAATCGTGTTATTGACTGAAACATGTCAGGAATTGTATATCCTGTTTGTAAAAGATGCACTCTTCACAACGCAGTCCTATTCAGTAACAATAACTGTAGTCTACAGTGTAAGCCTTGTCTACCAGATACGGAAATATGAAAATGTAAAATGTGTTACGACTTCACCTCAAACTATGACCTCACGAATGATGACAAACCTCAACACTTCTCTGACCGATAGGCGCTGTATGTAATATATTTTATTGTTGTTTATACTGCATGCACCAGTGTACTACTCTTAAAGGTGCAGTGTGTAACTTTTAGCATAACCTTTTCTCAGAAATGTCATAGGTATGTTTTCATGAGTGTATAATCACCTGAGAATAACTATTGCTGTGTTCTCATTGACCTTAGAATGAGACATTTTTATCAACAGAGGGTCCTCTTCTACAGAGGCCGCCATGTTGAACAGCCATTTTTCTACAGTAGCCCAGAGCGGACAAACAAAACACTGACTCTAGAGAGGGCCTTTTATATTTTTCACAAGTTTCACTGCCACCATTGTCTACATGCCTAAAAGGCTGAACTATATTCAAGTCTGCTGTCGGCTGCAATCTGCAACTTCACCACTAGATGCTACTGAATACTACACACTGGTCCTTTAAAGATTCCCTCCAGACGTCTATTAAGACATATACAACCAGTTGGCTTGGAACAATAATGTGTGTCTGATGTGTTTTTTACACAAAGAATATATAATATAATTAATTTATATAATTTCACTTTAAAATCTTTAAAACTCATCTTCTCCTTCTACCTCATTAAAAATGACAGATTCTCTGAATATGCGAATGTTGTGTTGTGTTGTGTTCTGTAAAGTCCATTCTCAGTGTGTGTGAACTGGTGGCTTCAAGTTTCTACATCACACTTGTGTAAGTTTTATATTGGACCAGGATGGACATGTGAAACATGCTTCTAGTGTCAAACTCTGCATATACATCATTCTGCACAGTGAAGCTCAAACATCCAACTGTAGGGTCCAAGAATAATAACTGATTTATGAATGAGGGGGACTTTAAAGAAGGCACGTTCTGAACTACCAAATGCCACTTAATGCATATTAGTACTACTGTTTTCAGTCAAGGCAAAGGATTTATGTTGTGTGTTACACTGTATTTGAATTATAAAATTGAATATTGCATATTACCTTTTTTATAATTGGTAATCTTTTTTCAAGGTGTCCTGCTGAAAACTCATAATAATTTGGACAAAGGCCTTTGAAATTTCAAGGTGCTGGCTAATAAGGAAGCATCTCAGCAAGTGTTTCGGTTTTAACACAGAGCACTCATCCAATGAAGTGTGAATTGCCATGTGCTGTAATTTGAACAGATTCAAATTCACAGTCTATGCTGCGGTGTTCCCATACGCTGTCATGCACTGTCTATCTTCTGGAACCATGAGAAAGACTTCACTCTAATCTGAATTTAACAGCTAGTTTTGTTTATAGTGAATATCGGAAGATTTCTTGCCATAGCCTATATTAAAGTGTTGGATTTATTAATATTAAATAGTTCTACACAAGAAATATGCAGGCATACATTACACATAGGCTACTGTGCCAGTGGCAATGTAACAACAGATCTTTTTTTTTTTTTTGGCAGTTCATGACATATATTGCCGCTATACCTGTCAAATAACATCAGAACATAAAGTCAAATCAGACATTTGGCCGGATGTGATTCATATATTCCTTGGTTTGTTTGTTTGTTTATTAGTTTCAGTCATAGTTTTGTTCCTCTTTTAGTTAGGTTAGCGAACTTTGCTTTGCATGCATGCACTGCAAATGTGAACAAGGCCTTAGTGCTTGTACTGTGTTTGTCACATACTCAACAATTTGTGTAAGGTTTTCCATTCTTCATGGTTTCTGTGTTGAGGGAAGTGCAGTGTATTTCTGTGGGTGTGAATATGTGTCACATTAAGTTTTTTTTACTTACGTGGAATAAGTGATATTTAAGGGGTTGAACAGCAGATGATTGGCTTTAATTAGGGGATCAATTAATCACATTAGTCACTTATGGACAGGTGCCACCTATAGATGGTGCTGCGATTAGACCAAACTTTAGAAATGACATTTTGGGATAATATTTTTTTTTTATTACTTATATGACCAATGTGTAGGCTTTAGCGGCATCTAGCTGTGAAGTTTCTGAATGCAACTAACTGAACACCGCTCACGTCTGTATTTGATGACCTGGGAATGAGAACGAGCTGTGAAGCATGTAGGAGAAACTATGGTGGCCAAGAAAAATGCAAAAAAGCCTTATCTACAGTCAGTGTTTGGTTTGTCTGTTCTGGGCTACTGTAGAAATATGGCGGTTCAACATTGTAGACTCCATGGAAGGCAACCCGAAACGTCTGTAGATAAAAATGGCCTATTCTAAGGCAACAAAAACACAGCAATTTGATTTTCCGGTGATTATACACACATAATGAAAGCATATTATAAGTAATTTCTTTCAGTAGATCCTCCTGAATGTTACACACTGGACCTTTAAAGCTGGGCTTTTCCTACTGTGGCATTAAAAAGAACTTTTGTTATAGTACTGTATGTTGTTTTAGTTAGTACACAGGAAATTAACTTCATCATTATGTACTGTGCTGACAGGAAGTGATACAATACATGTCAATCAAACTGACTATATATTATAACTTGCTATGGTGCAGAGAAAGCAAAATGTAACAGTTCCCTGTTTATACTTCCAGCAAATACGGACATTAGGATTCATTTGGAGTTTCTGGCCAACCGACAAATATAAGACAGACACTCACTTTCCTTTTAGCTTTGTTTTGGTCTCCGCCAACTTCTGAGGGAGATAACTGGCTGTTTAGCAGCTAAATGTGCCGCTACATTAACCAGCTAACTGCTAACTTTGTCTGCCTGGCGATGAATTGGTATACAATCGGTTTATCAGAGCATCTTCACTACAAACAGCTTTTTGTTGCGACTTGAAACAAAATGAGTATGTAGTATGAAGTTAGCTTACACAGTTATCTTACAGAGTGCTAAATAGCAGGCAGGGCGGGGCTGGTAGAGCTGGCGCATTATGTACCGAGGCCTTGCTGTATCCAACCCGTGGCCCTTTGCTGCGTGTCATCCCCTCTTTCCCCCCCCTCCCCTTTTCTTTTAATCTTCATTTGTCCTATCAAATGAAGACAAAACCCCCCGAAAACATAAAAAAAAATAGGCACAGGTATAACTTGTTACATTAACAATGGCTCTATCCTATATATATGTACCATATAAGTCAATTCAGTAAATTAAGTTACTATAATAATTAATAATTTTATGCCTTGCGTCTCTTCTGCTATGGCATGTTTGACAAGATATCTACTGTGAAAGGGCCGACAGTTTTCTGCACCTCTAATCAACATTTTGTTTCTAGAGGCATTTCACATTTTTGAAAATGTTCTCCTGCTAAGTATTTGAACAACACTTGAACATATTCTAACTTATAATGACTGAGCTCCTGTGTTTCACTCGTTATCCTCTGCTTCACTTGAATTTGCAGTTGGTCTGCCGCTTCTCGTTGGTCAAAGCTTGACACGCTTCTGATGTTTGACACACGCAAGCCACTATCAGATGTCCAACAAAGCTCTTGCCTCATCTGGGCTTTACCTGACCTCAGTGATCTTTGCTATGCAAACTACACAATTAGTTTGCGTGCTCGCGATTGAATGCAAATATGATAACTGCTTTTTCGCCTCTGATTCTGTTCTCATAGCTGTGTCACAGTGTTGTTCACAGTACTGACATTGTGTGTATTTGCACGTACCAACGCATTCATATATTGTTGCTTTTATCTCTTATGAATGAAGGAATGAATTATATAATTACTGATTACTTTTCTATGAGCTAGTTTAATGAAAATATTTACAAGAAATTAAAGCTCTGTCATTATTTTTAGAAGCCAAATGCAAAAAAAGAATAATTTACTCTGAGCTCTATCTTCTAACCGATAATTCTTACTTTACTGCAACTGATTACATTGTGCTCCGAGCTGTGAATATACTTTTTTTCACCATGCATGAAGGAAGCATAAACAGCACTTGCAGATCAAGCACACTGATAAAAACCAAACGATTTGAGCTATTTTAGTGTCGTACTCCTGCATCCCCTCATCTCGAAGTTCCAGGGCACACTGAAAAAGGTAATCTCATTTGTAATGTGTGACAGCTTATTTGCAAGTGTGTACACCGGCAATTTTTTAATGGGCCCGCCAGTGATTCTTCTTCAACTGATTTCAAAAAGACACCCTGGAACAGTTTAGACGACACATGCCATCGCCTGTGAACCCAAGTTATCAATCAAGCACCAATTAACATGCTCGGTTAGAGGAAATCAAGGGCTCTTTGATGTTGCAGTCAGGGAGTGTCGCTACGCATGTCATTGATATGATGGGTTTCAATTTTATCCTCACTGTACCAAAACATATGAAAAGAAATGTGCTCACAGCGTCCACCACAATAGATAATTCACATTGGAGATATGTTTGATGTTTGATCCCACTTTGTCACGTTTAACTTTGCTTGTTTTAACAGAAGTCAATAAAGGCCAGATAGGACAGCCAGAAAAAACAACCTCGTTTGTTATATTTTAGTGTTTCAATTGTTCCAGCATCGGATATCCTGTTTTATTTGCTGGTTGTAACACTGTCTTCTCCCCCACACCACTTCCGCTGAAGTAGGTAAACCTCAAACACTATACACGGCAGCTGCATAGTTGATGTGTACTTCCTCATAAAAGTGTGAGTGAAAGCATGTGTTTTTCACCTACATGCTGAAAAAGAAAACAAGAAACCAATTGTCTTCTAAAT